TAGGGATAGTGGGAGGGGCAGGGGAAAGGAAAGAAGGGAAAGGAAAAATGATAAGAAATGGAAAAAATGGAAATAAAGTCTTTGTTAATAGGGAAGGGTGGAGGGGGTGAAGGGAGGGCTAGGAATGGGAAAAAAATAAGAACCACGATGCATCATATAAAGGTACAAGTTCCCAATGAGAAATGTAATTGTGTTGTATACCTAATATGTACCAATAAAAGAATTTAAAAAAAAAATGAAAAACAGAAAAAGGGCTGGGGACACAGCCAGTGCAAAGGCTCTGGGTTCAATCTAGTACTGCCAAAGCGCGCGCGCGCACACACACACACACACACACACACACACCTACACACAAACACTACTTTAATTATGGCCCTAAGCTCCAACAGTCAAAAAGGCTAGTCCAAGTTTAGGAAGGATGATATTGACTGTCCAACATGACCTATGCTCACTTCTGATTTGATTTAAAACACCTGAAGAAAATCTGAAGTTGCGATGTTGATACATGTACCAACTCCCCATGATGAATGTAATCACTGTACACTGCAAACGTACTGATAAAATAAAAATTAAAAAAGAAAAAAGAATGAAGTTCAAAGACATATACAGAAATTAGCATTTCCTTGAGAAATTATGTTGAGTTGCTGCAATAAATACTTTAAGGTAATTCTGAAAACAGTCTCTGGTTTTATCCACATGGAGAGATCTTGAAGAAACCCTAATCATTAAAAGTACTGGTGACAGTGTGACACTGGAGTAAGACTTCTGCAGAAGCCAGAATATCCACAAAGGTTTTTTAAAGAAACTGCAGTTGGGTCAGTTTATAATAAGTAGGTATGGAATGACCCAAATGACCATTATCTAATATTAACAGTTCAGTGAAAGATACATATTAAAGTCACTTTAAAGGAACTGCTACGATACAAAACCACAGAGGCAGTACTGTCACAAGTGATATCAAAAAACAAAAAAACAAACAAACAAAAACAAAAAACACAGAATGTGGCAAAATAGTAACAGAAGTGGTATTAAATTCTTTTTTCATTTTTCTCTATGTTCCCATGGTTTTATATAATAGATCTTTGATATTCACAAAGATCTATTTTGAATCTTCAAATTACCCAATCTTGCATTAAAACATAACAGTGAATGATTCACTCCCTTATCACAAATGCCAGTCACTACCATGCTGTTTTATTTTTTTTATTTTCTTATTTTTTGGTACCGGGGATCAAACTCAGGACCTTGTGCTTGCAAGCCAGGCACCAGAACCACTGAGCTAAATCCCCAGCCCCCAAACCATATTGGTTTTTTTGTTTGTTTTTTTTTTTTTTTATTTTTGGTACCGGGGATTGAACTAGGGTCCTTGCACTTGTGCAGCAGGCGGTGAAACCACTGAGCCAAATTCCTGTCCCCATATTGTTTCAAATACTGAGTAGATGATTAAATCTAAAGCTGAACAAAATTAAAAATAAAAATTGAATTAGGTACTGCAAACATGTACTAATAAAAATTAAAAATAAATAATTTTTAAAAGGAGATACAAAAAATAAATCAAAACTGGGTATAGAGAACAAAAAGAGCGACTATTTAGAAAAGGTTTCACAGTCCCAAATCCTTTTACAGATCAATTTTCCTGTCATTAAATAAACATAACCAAGTGTACTTAATAAATTACGGTCAAAATAAGCCAAAGAATAATTACCTTTCCTGCTCCATTTGTTAATGCTACTACAGACGACAGGATACAGTCATTAGTTGTTATCAGCTTCTGTGTTGCTGTTGGAAGTTCATGCTCTATTGTAGCTTTCTGACTGTAATGTTTAGAAATATCTATAAAAGCATTAGAATGAAAACTCATTACTATCTATGTACAATTCACATACAATTGACTAGCCCCCTTTCTTCTCATATTTACTCCTACAAATTCATAAAGTAAATCTGACAAAGAAAGGTTCCGAGTATCAGGACTGTGCTGAGAATCCACTGAGCTACAAATCTAAGCAGAATGAAAGGAGGGTTTCAATGCCATCTGCACCTTGGCCACCAGCCTGGGTCTGATCTGTCCTCAGGTAAGGACCAGCGTTTATTTTAGTGTTGAGTCCATGGTCCTGACAGGATTTACCAGTCAGAGCTAAATTTGGACAGACTACCGGCACTCTCGAGGCTGGAGCAGGAGTGCAAAGCAGGCGTGACATCAACACAGGACACTGAGCTTGTCAGTGTCACCTGAACAGCAATGAGCACAGCCAGACAGGACTGGGTGCTCCACCACATGGCTTCCTGTGCCCAGCAGTATCACAACAAGTACCTGGGGCTGGCGAAGCACAGCAGAGAGGCTTAAATACAAAAGGGTTCAGAGAGGAGCTGTAGGTAAGGCCAGCTAAAGGGCTATCTTTTGGGCTTTTGGGGGTCTCTGAAACAGTTTGCCCTGGAAATAAGAGAAACTAGGAGAATTATTATGACAACACTGGTTTACAGTAAAGGGTAATTACATTTTTTTCTTTTTCGGTACCAGGGATTGAACTCTGGACCTTACGCTTGCAAGGCAGGCGGCAGAGCTAAATCGCCGGCTAGGTAATTACATTTTTAAGTAAAAAAAAGTTTGCAATATAACTGCCACTGACCTTTTTTGTTTTTCTTTTTTCTAGTCCTGGGGATTGAACCCAAGCACTTCACACTGAGCTACAACTCCAGCTCTTTTTTGATTTTTTATTTTGAAACAGGGTCTTACTAGGTCACTAATTTACCCAGGATGGGTTCAAAGTAGCAATCCTCCTGCCTCAGCCTCCCAGCATTCTGGGATTACAGGGATGTCCAACTATGTCTGGGCTCCCTTGACTTTTTAAAGATATTTCAGTTAAAGAAAACTAATTACCATTACCAACAAAGCTAAAAATAAATCACAAACAAGGAAATTAACTAAAGAAACTGTATGCAAAGAATTTATTCAGAATCAAGAAATTTAGCTGATTTTAGATTATATGTAATTAAAAGGAGAAATAAGACTATTTGGAAAGAAATGGCATTTGATATTGATATTTCATGTTCCATGAAAGATATTTTTACTAAAACTTTAAAACCAGAGAATTGATTAATACATATATTTATATACATTATAAACCTATATACAACTTTAATTTAGTATAGTTTCAGATTTACAGAATAGTTAGTGTTTCAGTCTTCTTTCACGATTTTTTCTGGTACTGGGGATTGAACTCTGGACCTTGCACCTACAAGGCAGGTGGCAGAACCACTGAGCTAAATCCCTGGCCCTTTTCCATAACATCTTAGGTTACTAAATCGTAACTGTATACTAACAAAAGAACTGACCAATTAGTACATTACTATTATGTGTCTCATACATATATGTGTATATATATATTATATATATATATATATACTTTTTTTTTTTCTTTTCCCCTGAGACAGGGTCTCATTATGTAGTTCAGGTTGGTCTTGAACTCACTATGTAGCCCATGCTGGCCTCGAACTCAAGGTAATCCTCCTGCCTCAGACTCCCAAGTGCTGGGATTACGAGTGTGCACCACCACACCCAGCTTATGTTCAATGTATTTTATAAATAAACAATTATCCTCTGTAGACTTGTAAGATATCCAACTGTATAAAAATTGAGTGTCTGTGTACTAAATTTGCTCCCCTGAAGCAGACATTTTCTGGCTATATACCACAAACAGTTTTGTTCAACATTTTACTCGAAGAGCATACAATGTATGACTTGCTTAGTACACAATCTTGGTTATTTAGCAGGTAACTGAGGTACTTTTGAAAGAGGTATAATACTAAGAACAATATTGCTATACTTGTCCCAAATCAATGGTTTACCCTTTATTTGATCCAAATATTTTAATTACTTAGGGTGTCCCTTTTTTCCTTCCTTTTTTATTAGAGTACATACACCATCATCATGGGGAGTTGGTACCTATACATATATGAAATATTACTCCATTTTGCTTTCTCTTTGCCTTCTCTCCTCCCTTTTCCCTCCATTCCCAAATCCCCTTCCTGTCTGCAAAAGATCTACTTTCCTGTTTCCGATCATCTGTCTTTTATTTCATTCTTTATTTATACTTTGGATTTCTCATATAAGAGAAACCACATGATATTTAACCTTATTCTGCTTTTTCCACTTAGCATTATAGTTTCAAGGTGTATCCATCTTTCTAAATAACTCAAATTTATCCTTCTTTATGGCTAATACTCCATTGTGTATATATACATTTTCTTTATTCAGTCTGTTGATGAACATATTAAGCTGCTTCCAAGATTTACTTATTGAGTATTGTGCTACTATAAACATGGGTATGCATGTATCTATAATATGCTACATAATACGATGTCTATCATATTATGACTCTAATATGATGCCTTTAACTCTTTGGGAAAGTTACCTAGTAGAGGAATAGCTAGGTAGAATAGAATTTGTTTTTAGTCTTTTAAGGAATCTTCATACTGATTTCCATTGTGGTTTACTAGCTTACATTTCCACCAAGAATGTAGAAGGGCCCCTTTCTCCTCACAACCTCACAGCATTTCTTGTTATGTGAGTTTTTTATAAATTCTAGATATTAGCCTTCTGTACAAGAAGTACCTGGCAAAAAGTTTTTCCCATACTTGTAGGTTGTCTCTTCACTCTGTGGGTTGTGTCCTTTGCTATGCAAAAGCTTTTTAATTTGATATAATCCATCTGTTGATTCTCAGTGTTATTTCTTGTACAACTGGGATTCTATTCAGAAAGCTCTTGCCCAATGCCTATGTCTTCAAAAGTGTTACCTACTTTATCTTCCAGTAGATTCAGTGTTTCTGTTTTAAATCTAGGTCTGTAATCCAGTTTGGTTTCATTTTGGTACAGGTTGAGAGATACAGATCTCGATTCATTCTTCTGCATGTGGGTAAGCAGTTTTCCCAGCACCACTTGCTAAAGAGGCTTTTTTCCACTGTATTTTTTGGCCCCTCTGTCAAAGATCAGATGGCTGAATGTGTCTAGGGTTGTTTCTGCTTCTTCTATTCTGTTCCACTGATCCACATGCCTGTTTTTGTGCCAGTAACTTGCTGTTTTTATCACTATAGCTTTGCAATATATCTTGAAGTCAGGTATTGTGATGCCTCCTGCTGTGCTCTTGTTGCTCAGAACTGCTTTTGCTATTCTGTGTCTCTTCTGGTTCCATATAAAGTTTAGGATTGTTTTTTTCTAGTTCTGTGAAGAATGCCATTGGTATTTGATTGTATTAAATCTATATTGTCATTTTTGGTAATATGGTCATTTTGACAGTTTTGGTGCTGCCCATCCAGGAACAGGGAGATGTCCTGGTCAATCTCTTTTTTTCAAGATACTATAGTTTTTGTTATAAAAGTCTTTCACTTCCTTGGTAAGTATTTAATTTTTCTGAAACTATTGTGCATGGGATTGTTTTCCTAACTTTCTCAGTGGTTTTTGTGTATTTATTTGTATCCTACTATTTAGCTGAATTTGTTCATTAGTCCTAGGAGTTTTTTGGTCTTCTATATAAAGGATCGTGTTATTAGCAAGTAAGGAGTTTGACTTCTTCCTTTCCTATATGTATCCCTTTTATTTCTTTCTCTTGCCTGCTTGATCTAGCTGAAGTTTCAAGTGCTATATTGAACAGGAGTGGTAAGCATGGACAACCCTGTCTTGTTCCTGATTTTAGAAAACACGCTTTCAGTTTTTGCCCATTTAATGTGATGCTGACAGTAGATTTGTCATAAAGTACTCTTTTTTTTTTTTTGGTACCGGGGATCGAACTCTGGTCCTTGTGCTTGCGCAACAGGCGGCAAAACCACTGAGCTAAATCCCCGGCCCATCATAAAGTACTCTTGATACAGCAGTACCTTGGTTTACAAACTTAATGCATTCTACAATTCTGGTCATGAACCAAATTAATTTTCCCCATAAGGTTCAATGTAAATAAGATTAATCTGTTCTAAACCATTATGTATTTTTTTAACTACAAAAAGTATGAAACAAAATACAGTACAGTATATAGTATGAAGAGAGAGAATACTAACCTTGCTTGAGGCAACTTCTGGTGTGGAGGACAGGAAGGTGGGGGGAGAGGAGGGAGAGTCCCCCTCCATAAGGACAGCAGAGAGAACTTCAGGGGTTTCCTCTCTTCTTTGCCTCTTAGCTGAAAAGTCAATTTTGATGAAAAATCTGTCTAACATCACTTGTCTTTCCTGTGCTGCATAACCCTCCGGAGATGAAACCACATTATCATTAATCAGATTCAACTGTTCATTGCAGTTATGTTGGGGTGGTATATCTCAAAGAAATCCTGGCACCCATTCCATTTTTCCATAATAGATTTTATCACATCACGGCTAACTTCCTCCCTCTCTTCCTCTTCCTCACTGGAATGATCCTCAACAAGCACCTTTTGCTGCTCACTCTGGAGTTCAGCAAGTTCTTCCATCACCAGCTCTTCCATGTCTGCACCATGGACATCCAGACCCATACTCCTGTACCTGGACACAATCTCCTCCACTACCTGTGCATCAGACCTTCAAAGTCATGTTCAGTGACACATTCTGGCCAGTTTTCTCCAGGCTAAGTCCAATAAGTGACATCTTCCCAGGCTTTGTCAATGAGGTTGATGCAGTGGAGGGCATTGAAATGATTCTTCCGGAACTCTGTTTCAGAGTCAAGGACATCTCTTCAGTGACATTAAAACACGTGGTAAAAAGCACCTTTGTATACAGTTCCTTGAAGTTGCAGACCATTTGCTGATCCATAGGCTGCAGAAGAGGGGTCATGTTGGGGGGAAGGAACTTAACTTTTATGAGGTCCTACTCAGCATCCATATCGTCCACCAAGGCTGGAGGGTGTGCTGGGGCACTGTCATCAGAAGAAGGGACCCTTCAGGCAGTTGGTTGTCAGAAAGATATTTCTATTTTTTTTTTTTTGGTACCGGGGATCAAACTCAGGACCTTGCACTTGTGCAGCAGGCGGCGAAACCACTGAGCTAAATCCCTAGCCAGAAAGATATTTCTTTTTTTTTGGTGCCGGGGATCGAACTCGGGTCCTTGCGCTTGCACAGCAGGCGGCGAAACCACTGAGCTAAATCCCCGGCCAGAAAGATATTTCTTAACAGTGGATGTGAACACCCCATGCATGGAACCCAAGCTTTTGCACTGGGTCACATAACAGGCATTCAGGCCTGTTCACATTCTGTTCCTTGAAAGTATGAGGGGTCTAGGAATAGTCCACCAGTAGTGGCTTAATCTTCAGATCAGCACTTGCGTTTGTACACCACAAAAGGGTCAACCTGTCCTTCATGTGCTTGTGCCCCGGCAGTGCCTTCTCCTCCTGTGTGATATAGGTTCTATTTGGCATCTTATTCCAGAAGAGCCCTGTTTCATCCCAGTTGAACACCTGTTGAGCGACACCATCCTTCTGTCTTCATGGATTTCACCAAGTCTTTCTTATAGGTTTTTGCAGTGGCCCTGTCAGAACTGGAAGTCTATGTCTTATCACACTGTGGATGCCACTTCTCCTGTGGAATTTATCAAACTACTCTCTTCTGGCTTTAAATTCATCACTTGTAGCACTTGTAAAGGGGTTTTCTTGCAGTAAATTACTCTTCAATTTCCTGGCTTTTTCACAGATCAGTTTCACTAATGCTATTACCTGCCAGCTGTTTCTCATTCAACCACAGTAACAAAAGTTTTTCCACCTCTTCCAGCACTTGTGACCTCTGCTTGGTTAACATCATTCTGCCTCATCAGCTCCTTTGATGGCATCTTTATTCTTCCAAATAGTCAAGATTGTCAACTTCGCTATCTTGTACTCCAAGACCAGATCAGTCACACAAATACCATGCTCATGCTTTTCTACAATTTTCTTCTTCAAGTCAATCATTATTTTCTTCAAATTCTTCTTACTACTCTTACTCTGCACATTCTCATCACCTTCATTACCGCTCTGCACATTCTTTTTACCACCATGCTTGCTCTGCACTTTCTCTGGAGCCATGCTGGGTTGAGTAATACTGCACAGTACCATATGTGCTTAAAAGCACACAAAAAGGTTCACAGCAAGTGTGCACAGGTCTGTCTGCAACCATGATCTCAACTAGAGGAAGCCATGACCATGTGTCAGAGAAGGGAAAATGGCCACAGTCATGTTCACCACCGATGCAGAGTTTTCGAACGGAAGCAAAATTTTACTGAACATTTCTTTTTGCAAGCCGGGTTGTTCACAAATAGAAGCATTCATGAACCAAGATATCACTATATTGAATTTTGGTTTTTCTTGTTTTGTTTTGAGACAAGGTCTCACCATGCAGTTCAGGCCAGCCTCAAACTCACTATATAGCCCAGACTAGCCTTGAACTCACAGCAATGCTCCTGTCTCAGCCTCCTGAGTGCTGGGATTACAGGATTAAATTTTAATTCCAAAAGTATATAAGCAATCACATGTCCTAGACCATAGATTTATTTTTCCTTTTATGTTTTATATGAATCTACCTGCTTTAGATTTCTGAGATTAAAGATCAAATAATTCTCATACAGAATGACACTTATTCAAAGATTATTTCGGTCCCATTTTAATTCCATATGGGATACACATTTTTAAAGCTATCTCTCCTTTTACACTGGGAACAGCCTACCAACCAGCCTACCCACCTTTCCTCCTTATTTCCAAATTAGATCAAGCAAATTATTCAGGGCAAAGTGGAATGGCAGAGATTTGAAATAAAAGTTCTTAAAATAAAAATTTATCTGCTAATGTCACTTAAGGTCTCATTTGTGTTTATTGGGGTTTTTTGTTTATTTCTGACTAACAAACTTTCAATTTATTCCTAAAAAAGAAACATTTTGTAATGACACATTTTTGGATCTGAAAGTATGACAAAAGTGTATTTACTAGTTGCTACAGAGTCATTTGCTACAAGTTTATTTTGTATCATAAACGTTAACAATGCTCACATGGAAAGTAACAGCAAAATTCTTAGTATAAGAGCAGATTTAGAACTGGATCATAATTGTACCATAACAACTATATTCGATGTGTGCTGTTGTGTATCAGTTTTCACAAGAGATACACAATAGTCCCTGGACTTGAACTGCAAACATAGCAACAGGGCCCCCTAATCTGTCTGCCAACATCCTTCATGTTTCCCCCCAGTCTTTCTTCATATATCTTCATTTCTCAAAACCAGAGAGAAGTGGCAGCACACAAAGCCTACGGAGGCTTCTGACCCTCCCATAATCTCCATAAGCTCATGCCAAACAGCAACACTAACACATTTTGCTTTGGACCATTTGGCATCTTCTTGATTTTTTATAATGTATGATCAAGAGCATCTTTAGAAAACTGTGTACTGTTGATGAATTTAAGAAAGCAAATAAAAACCAAGATTTTGTATGTAAATGAAGTTAGTTCAATAGTTATTGTCCATTATTCTAGCACCTCCTATCTAGAAATTCTGGAGAAACCACTGGCAGGAACAAATCATAATATCCCATTGGAAATTTAAAAGACAAAACAAAAAATCCAGAGCCAAAGAGGCACTTGTGGTTCTGATGGCCTAGTTCTAGGTTAAGTAAAAATCTGGAATGGAGAATGACAGCCAGGTCCTAGGCTCTCAAGACAAAGGCTGTGCAGTAATAAAGCATCTGTCCCTTGGTTTTTCTGCAGACCAGACCAAGTTCTGCAGGGTCAAGGTTGACTACTGTCAACACCACCCAGACTACCTAGCCAAAGCTGTGATTCCCGAAACCAGGGCTAGCTCCAAAAGCAGTGACTTTTACAGGTAAACTGAAGATAAGCCAGGGAAGACCCACTCTCCACCAAACGGAACGGTATGCTCAGAAACACTGCTGAGACAAAAAATGAATCCCAGCACCAGAGGTATGTATGTGCCTGTCTACAAGACCATACCACTATGCCCCCTTACACATGTTATACAAAACAGCTTTAAGATTTTAAAAATTACTTTCTGTAAAATGAGTCACGAACTGTTAACTAAACATCACAGTGAATCATCTAGGCACCTGGTCTACTTCCAACAGTCCTTAAGAATCACTCCCGTCTCTTCTGCATCCCTTGCCCAAGTCTCTAAAAGGAAAAGAAGAGGGGCAGGCTGAGGAATCTAAAAGCAACACAGAACTACAGCTTGTCAGGACTCAGAATCACATGCTAAGAAGCACATGAAAGGCTTTAAAAGATTCACCTCTGACAGTTGGCAGACTATATTCTTAGGAGTCCAAAAGCAATTGTAAACTGATGTAGGTTTTAAAAAGACCTACATTTCTTAAGGTTTTGCTAAACAAGACGAGACTTAAAACAGATATTTTAAATATCAAAATACACAGGATGGTGGAAAGTTACTTGTTCTTTCTGGGGACTTTGATTTTCTCAATTCCTTCATGCTTGAGTTCTAACAAGTGTTAAGTACTCTGCTACATGCGACTGAATAGCATGTCTGGTTTGGTAAGATCCACACACCTGCATGAAATCTGTGTAATGCTAAAGTACTGTGCACAAGGATTTCTCATCAGTTCTCTGTTTACCTTCAAAAAGAAGCAGATGGGAAAACCAGAAGGCAGTAGCTGTGCACTTCCATGTAAGGCAAATGCTACCGAGCCTTTATCTGGAGTCTTTAGCCCTTGGCAGTATTTGTTTAAATCTCCTTCACGTAGATCTGAGGAAAAGGCATAAAGGTTCTAAGCTCATTTATGTTCTTTTCCAGGGCTCACCTTTCATGACATCATGGAAACCATGCAGAGCAGCACCAACATTTGTTAAAACCGAACTGTAGTTTGTCCGCACGAGTCCATCTGGTTGTGTACCTAGGAAAGCAAAATCACAAATCTAAGCATTTTCCTGCCCACCACCTCCTTCTACTTTGAGGAACACAGAGATTGAAGATTGATTATAATATTCTGGAAATAATTGTTCTTAAAAACCTCTACAGACACATTCATATATAATGGTGATAAGCTAAGGCACATCTAACTGATTTGCATCCCCATATCCACATTTTTTATGGTTGAGAATCAAAACTGATTTCCTAGGTTGTAACTGGTCTTTCATGATTCTTTTTGAAATGAATGTCTGTGTGATTCTCATCTTGCTTATTTTTTCATTCCCTACACATTAATTTTTCCTGAACAGCACTAAAACATAATTCTTCAAAGAGGATGGAATTCTACTTCTGGCATAGCATCGTGAGAAGCTCCACAGATCTGCTCCCCAGTAAAATTGGTGACAACTACAAAACAATAAAAAAAAAAATCACTTAAAATTTCTAGAAATAGTTCTAAGGATATGCAACAAATAGAGAAACATTCACGCAGGAAAATCTGTAATACCTCAGCAGGAACAGCAAGAGTCTGTGGTACTGAACCAAGACACACTGTCTCCCTCCCCTCCCAACTCAGGGAGATTAGAAACCCCACTCCCAGCAAGTAAAGCCAGGCACACAGGACACCCTCCTTTCTAATTCCCGGCCCAAGGGCTGGATTTCTCATCTTAACCCCAGCTACCTGTTGTCACCAAAACAGTATGTTACTGCCACAGGAGAGAGAGAGGAGACAGAGAGATCAAGATAAAGTAAAACAGGACTGAGAACCCAGAAATAAATTCATTCATATTTCTATGGTCAACTCTCTCTCAACAAGGATGCCAAGACCATTTAACAAGGAAAGAGTTGTCTTTTCAATAAATGGAGTTGGGACAACTTGATGTCCATATGGAAAAGATGAAACTTGGCCCTTACCTTGCACTACATATAAAAATTAACTCAAAATGTATCAAAGACTAAATTCAAGTGCTAAAACTACAAACTCTTAGAAGATTTTATATCCTCAAATTGGACAATGAACTCTTAGATATGACACCAAAAGCATGAGCAACGAGAGAAAAAACTTGAGTTCATCAAAATTAAAAACTTTTGTGCTTTAAAAGATACAATCAGGAAAGTGAAGACAACACAAAAAAATGGCAGAAAATGTAGGAAATAATACATCCAATAAGGGACATGTATCTAGAATAAAGAACTCTTATAACTCAATAATAAAAAGACCAATAACTCAATTTAAAAATGGAGAAAGGGAGTTGGGTGTATTGGCACACATTTGTAATCCCACCATTCTAGATGCTGAAGCAGGAGGATCACAAGTTTGAGGCCAGCCTGGACTATTCTGTGAATTCAAGGCCAGCCTACACTGTACAGCAAGACAGGAAGGGGAGGGGAGGGGAGGAGGGAAAAGAAAAAAAGAAAAGAGAGAAGGGAGGGGCAGCCATGCAAATACACATTTCACCGAAGAAAATATACAAATGATGTGGCCTATAAGGACATGAAAGACATTTGACATCATTTTCTATAAGGAAATGCAAATCAAAGCTACAAGAGATACCACCTCATACCCATTAGGATGGCAAGAATCAAAAAGTCAGATAGTAAGTATTAGTGAGGATGTGGAGAAATCTGAACTCAAAAACATTATTTGTAAGAATGCAAAAATGGTAGAGCACTTTGGAAAACAGTCTGGCAGGTCCTCAAATAATTAAACATAGTTACATGTGACCCAGCAATTCTAACCCTAGGTGCCTACCCAAAAGAAAAGACATGTCCACACAAAATTTGAACATCATTATTTATAATAGCTAAAACAACTCAAATAGCCATTACCTGATGAATGGGTAAATAAAATGTGGTACACCCATACAATGGACTATTATTCTGCAATAAAAAAGAATGATGTACTGACATATGCTACAATAAAGACATGTTTATTATATGATTCCATTTGTATGAAGTGTCTAGAATGTGCAATTCTATGAACAGACTGTTTATTAGAAGTTGCTTAGGGCCGGAGATTTAGCTCAGTGTTTCCGCCGCCTGCCTAGCAAGTGCAAGGACCTGAGTTTGATCCCCGGTACCAAAGGAAAAAAAAAAGTTGCTGAGGGTTAGGTAAGAAGAGAAACAGAACAGGAGGGTGATGGCTAAAGAATACATGGATTCTTCTAGAGGTAATGAAAATGGTCTAAAATTGACCATACTAATGGTGTGTATTAGTCTGTGAGTACACTAAAATACTACTGAATTATACACTTTAAATGAGTAAATTGTGTAGTGTATAAATTATGTCACAAGAAAGCTGCTCTAAAAAAATCATAGTACCAGGTATACAGCAACTGTGTATGTGGTGCTGGGGATCAAACCCAGGACCTCACACATGTAGGCAAAAGCTCTACCACAGAGCTACATCCCAAACCAGAAAAAATCATGGCATTTCTTAAAAACATCACTGAAATTACCCAAAAATACTTTTCTCAAATAAGGCCAAAAAAACCCCAAATTGTATCCTTACTACTAAATCTCCCTATGCTGCTTGTTAGAAAGCTGCTACAAATTCTTATGACTTGGCTTGATCTATGTAAAAAAGAGGAAGGAGAGAGGGGCCAGGGATTTAGCTCAGTGGTTTTGCTGCCTGCTGCAGAAGCACAAGGATCCCAGTTTGATCCCCGATACCAAAAAAAAAGGAAGGAGAGAAAGGTAATTAATATTTAAGGCACATTTAAAGTCTAATATTTTACATCCTTAATAATCACAACATTTAACTCCACTTTATAAAGAGAGAAATAGTGTTTTGCCCAAGAGGATTTGAATTCCAGGTTTTCCCTGACTTCAGATCCTCTGCTCCTCTCACTCTAACAGGCAAAACCATCTCCCTCTTCCAACTCTTGTCCTCTCAAGCCTCCGTGTGGAGCCATGCACAGCAGACCCACTCACTTGGCAGAGAGAGAAGAGCGACATATGTCTGCAGCTTCTCAAACACAGCCGTCATCCTTCTCATGTCCTGGGATAGCTCCAGATTCCTGGCTCTCAACGCAGACGTGCAAAGAGAAGATTCACATTCTTCTTCTAAACTATGGAGGGGCAGATTTTTAGAAAGTAAGCATCCTGAGCAATGTTCAATTTTCTATTAGAAACCGTCTAAGTTCTCAAACCACTAAACCCAAAGACAGACTTTGCGGAAAAAAGAATGATCATGTTTATACGGTGATACACAAGACTGTTGCTGAAAATCCAATGGAAGAAAAGAGGACTAAGTGGAAGAGACAAAGCCACATGCCCAGTATCTTTCCCTCCCAAAAGCAGCACAAACACATTAAAATATTTAACATCTTAACTATTAAGAATCCTTTAAATATTTATGGGAGAAAATAATTTGCACACTGGATTCCAAAAGAGAATTAATTAAACTGGAACTGGTAATATTGCCACTGACAGTGGTTCAGAGACTAAGAAACTTTTCTCATTGTAATAGTTTCAAAAGCCAAACAAATTAGAAAAACTAATTTCTAATTAGAGGCTCAAATTTAAAAGAAAATGTTTAACACTCATTGAATATATTTTATCATTTCCAATTTAAATGGCTAATCGGGAAAACTTAATTATAAGGTTAAAAAAAAAACCAAATGTACTTGCAATAAGACTGTTTATTTACAAATGTTAGATAAGCAAAAATAAAAGCTTTTTACACAAAACCAGAAAAGTTAGCAGAGAAACCACAACCACATCTCATCCCTCTGCCTTGGCACTTCTACTTTACTTTCAGCAAGACAGCTCTATTCAATTCTGAGCCCATTTACTACCAAAGAACAAGTCATCATATCAATTAAAGATGTATTTAAACCAATGCCCCCCAAAATTTAATCACGTGAATTCCTCCCAAAGGAAGCTGAAAGCATATGTGACAAAACATTCCAAGAATAGGAACTTCACATCCAAAAAGGATTTAGATAAAGTTTTTAAAAATGTAAGTATGAAAGCTGGGCGTGATGACACACACCTGTAATCCCAGTACTCAGGAGGCTGAGGCAAGAGCGTCACCATGAGTTTGAGGCCAACCTGGGCTACATAGTGAGTTCAAGGCCAGCCTGACCTACACAGTGAGAACCTGTCTCCAAAACAAAATAAATCCCAAAAATGTAATCCCAAAAAAGCAGATATAAAATAAAAATGTATAACTGTTTCAAGCACCACGTACTTGTTACATATGGTTCTTAAACAGAACCTTAAATATAACCCAAATAAGGTATATTCAATTATAATGTTAAACTTATAAAATCAATTTTAAAAAATTTAATTATACTGAACACATGCAAGGATGTGAACAAAACTGTAATTCATAATTATTACTTTAGTCAGTAATTCAATGATTCCTAAAATCCTCTCACAAGAACAAATCATAGAATTTGGGTAATGAAATACTGTGTCAGGTTAGGATTATGAAATAAGATGTTTCTTAATATGCATTGATTTTTTTAAATAATGAAGTTTTATATTTTAATAAGTAATTAATGTACATATATTCTGAACCTTATAGTATCTTATTAAGAATAAATATATTCTTTAAGTTCTAGTTGTACTATTCTTTGATTTTTTTAAAGGTTAAATCTTGAGATAAAATAGAAATCTTGATAGTTTTAGATCAAAAGTATAAAAATATACTAGCAGTATTATCAAATTCCCAGTGAGATATATTTATATATATATATAAAATTTTCCTGCTTTTCCAGAAATATTTAAGGTAGACTATTAGAGATCACTAAATAACATATCACATGAGGGCTAAAGTTTTTAGTTTATAGCTTTAAAAAATCACCAATAATAAAAAAAGAAGAATCTGTTTCAAAGATACCTAAAGATTATAGATCCAGATATAGAAGTCAACAATTATAACTCCCATCTAGAGCTTTATAGTAAAGGGATAATAAAAACCCCAAATTGGATTTTTTTTCAATATATGTGCCATTTACAATTATTGAAAATACTGGTTCAAGCCAGGTACAGTGGTACATGAGTATAATCCCATCTACTCTGGAGGCTGAGTCAGAAGGATCATAAGTTTAAGGCCAGCCTTGGCAACATAGTGAGACCCTGTCTCAAAAAATTTTTTTAAAAAAGGCTAGGAAGACAGCTCAGTGGTACAGCATTTGCTTAGCATGTACAAGTCCCTGAGTTCAATTCCCAGTATCACAAAAAAACCAAAACAAACTACTGATTCATAACATCACATGGTTAGAATAGTAACCACATAATACAGTACTGAAAAAAACCACAGCTGACAGCCTATAATTCAATTTATTTCCTCTCTTTTTTCCCTCTCTTCCTCCCTTCCATACTGGGGATAGAACACAGGGCCTCACATATGCTTAGGCAAGCACTCTATCACTGAGCTGCAACTCCAGCTCTATCTATCTATCTATCTATCTATCTATCTATCTATCTATCTATCATCTATCTAGCTATCTATTTATTTATTTATTTATTTATTTATTTATTTATTTGGTAGTGGGGATCCAACTCAGGACCTTGAGCTTGCGAGGCAGGCGCCAGAACCACTGAGCCAAATCCCCGGCCCTCTTTTTAATTTTTATTTTGAAACAGTCTCACTAAGTTACCCAGGCTGGCCTCAATCTGGTGTCCTTCTTGCCTCAGCCTCCCAAGTAGCTGGGATGACATGTATGCACCACTATACTAGCCTCAACTTTTTAAGTGCCACTTTATGCTACTCAACCACACTTTTCCTTTTCAATAAAGTCCAAACTGGCTATGGTACACAGGTCAATCAAAGCAGAAGAGGCAAATGTTACAGTTCTATTAACTCCAGAGTCAAGCCCACTCAGAGACCCCAATCTCCCTGACCTCCAAGTGAAGTACCTTTTTAACTGATAAGGAAGAATCTTCCTAAGGAAACATATGTAGGAAGTTAAATGCTCTGAAAATGTTTTCAATTTCACAGTTGTCTCCTGGAAAAGAAAAATAATTTCTTAGTTAAAAGTGCTATTAGACAAAGTGGAACTCCCATTTCCAAAAATAAAAGAAGGAATCAATTTACCAGGACAGTCACAGTATCTTCTGTAATACTTTCAAACAAATGAAGCATTCCTTCCTCAAGAGGGCGGACATAGGATGCATTTTCATGAAGGTATTGTGAGAACTAAACAGGAGGAAAAAAACTGTGAATTAATTTATTGGAAAATAATGAACATCAACACATTTGTAAGTGGACCCACTGAGTCATAAACCTAAATTCTTTTGGAAACATTTCTGGGAAATCTGGCTTTTGCCCAGATACTACCTCTAACAGTCCCAGATAATACCCTCCCTCCCATCCCATCCCAAATGGATTAAGCAGAGGAGGGAACACACTGGACAACCAGGCATCCTGTCCTGGGAAAACGGACGGGGGCCCGCATAGGGCACCTCACAACTCAGCACAACTCAGCATCAGCAGGCCAGCTTCCCAGGACACCTACTTCTCCAGAGGGTTCCCAGGAATACAGCTTTGAAAACCAAGAGTGTATGACACAGATTTTGTGTTGTGTACCTCATTTTTTAAAGAACAAGTCCTTTGAGGACAGCTTTTTATTTTTATTGCATATAATACTCAAGGTTAACAAACCCAAGAATGTAATTATCAAAATGAAAATATGAATAAAAACATCTTTAGCTATCACTGGTACCTTAGTATTTTGAAAAGTCTAATTCAGGTGCAGGGTCTGCGGTACAGCTCAGTGGTAGGTCTCATGCTAGCCTTAGCTAGGACCAGGTTCAATACCCAGTACCAAAAACAAACAAAAACCTAAAAAACAGATTCACAGAAAAAAATCCTTCAGACATCTAGACAATTTGGAAGCAAAAGGGTAATTTTCATTTATGAAATATCCCAGAAAAGTCACATTGGGCCTTTCATCGCCCAAAGCACCAGAGGTAAAATATTGAGAAATATATGAATTCTTCAGAATAATGAGTGTTCTAAACAAATTACATTTAACACATTTGATTCTCACCCTGTGGGTATAAAATGGCAATAAACTAAATGAAATTCCATTAATAGGCAAAGAACCAATATTAAATAGAAAATACATTTTGATATTATAGAAGTATGATTACATTAAAATGTGGCAATACTGTTTTGCTATATGGGTTTTTTGAAAGCTTTTTCCCACAGTGGCATTAAAGAGAATTCAAAGATCCAAAATTTAATTTTTATGAACTTCAATGGATTTGTAAAATCTGACTGAAATTGATGAAAACCAAGTGCTTACTTTAGGCCTAAGGAGGATGGTAAGAGCTAACTTTTACTGAGTATTTACTTAAACATAGTGCTTTACACATATTGTCTCATTTAATATTCAAACATAAATAGCTGTGAAGTAGGTGCTCTACCCCATTTTAAAGAAGAGGAAATGGAAGCACAGAGATGCTAAATAGCTAGAATATGGCAAAACTGGCTCAAGAACCCAAAAAGTCTGACTCCAAGGTCTAAGGCTTTGCTACATAAATCAGCACTTTGGATAATTATAAACACAAACACTACTCAACCCTTGGAAATACTGCCTGATGCACAAAACCAGTGCGGAAGAAGAATCAGATTCAGCAGGAAGAGTGGCATGCCTCATTTCAGACCACAAGTACCAGACACACCAACAGCAAGATTCCTACATTTTCTCCCAGGGATGCCTGGTCTCCAAGATGGCCCCAAGGATCCCCATGTATTCCCCACCTTGTGTACAACTCTCTCATATTGCTTCGGGTATGGGAGGAAAAAAAAGAAAAAAGAAAAGAAAGGAGCAGAATCTATGAGGCCAAAAAGAGGCACATGGACTGGACTGCAGGAAGCAATATTCAGACCTATTCTGATCCCTTGCTTAAGCCTCACAAATCCTGAAAACACCTTCCAGATGCAACTGGGTAAGCACTTTTACTCCCACTCCACACCATTAGGAAGGAAAAAGGTCAGCTACACCACACAGGTCTTTTTCGTACATAAGTCCCTGACTTATAAATGAGTTCCATTTTGGAAAAATGTTTGTAAGTCAGATTTGTTCGTAAGGCAACAAAGTGAGTCTTATACAGTACACCTGTGAAGGTTTTCGACTCAAATGTCAATAAGTCGGGGACTTATTGTATAAGCGTGCCTAGTGAGGAAAGTTTACACAGTGACTACAAACAGGGAGAGAGAAAAATGTCAGGAAATTACTCTTCCAATAATAAAACAGCTCTTCTCATTATGTCACTTCCTGGTCAAAAAGCTGCAGAGGGCTTGATCCTGTACACAAAGTGAACATCAATGCCTTGCCCTGCCCTTGGAGGCCTTCCGCAAGATGCAGCCATATGTTCTCATTTCACCAGGACAGTATGCTCACTTCTCCCCCTCAGCCCCATCCCATCCCCCAGTGCTTTCCTCCTCCCTGATTTTGCTTCTGTCTTCCCTCCTCCAGGGAACAAACACATCCTTCTTCTCTCCTACTTGATCTTCTTCATTCTCCAAGGCCCATTCAAATCCCCAAAGAATCTTTCCTAGACATACCTCTAACAGCTCCCTCTCCTCCCCAAAGATCTCATACCACTCACTCACAATGAGCTCTTCCAACATCTTCCCTAGTATTTATTTTCTTAAAAATCTCCATTTTTCCCATATTTTGTTTTGAGGGTAAAGACTATGACTTGCAGCTTTCTCCTTGTCCTGCACAGTTCCTGGCTGACGTACAGTAGTAGAAAAACAACTCTGTTCAGGGCAACGAAAAGTATGCTGAGTTAAATTTACCTTCTGATTCAATGGTGATATAGTGTCTATGGCAGAATCAACAGGAAAAATCTGAATCCTCTGCTCGGTGTAGGTGTGAAAGTTCAGAAGGGCAGTCACAAGATCTTGAACAAAAGCCAGGGCCTGCCTGGCAATATCTCGCATCTTTAGCTTTAAAAATGAAAAATATACAGTTGAAGTTAACCATCAAGTTATTATTCTAAGCCAACTTTATTAAGTCTGCTTCTGGAGAAAACATTTGAATAGTGTGATTATGTCTTATTATAATTCATTTGCTCTCATTTGAACTTTTATTTTATTGATTGATTCAGACAGGGTCTCACTATGTGGTTCAGGCTGGTCTTGAACTTACTATGTAGCCTAGGCTGGCTTCCAACTCATGACAATCCTCCTACTTTAGCCTTTCAAGTGTTGGGATTATAGGCATGCACCACCACACCTGGCTCCACTTGAATTTTAATACAGTACTCCTACCTAAGCACACTAGAGAGCCCCCAGTTTTGGGAAACACACCTCTTCCACTTAACCTAGACCTTTAAGCCAAGGTCCACTAATCTGAAAGAAAAGCATGACTCAAAACAGCAATGCATCCCATAACTGAGTTCCAATGTTACCAGACAACAGAGACATCATAATTCTGTATTACTTATGAATTCCATTAAAAGCAAGTTATACAATTTAAAGAAATGTAGGACAATGTAAAACAATAATTTCACACACTAAACAGATGCCCACAACTAATTCTTATCTCTGGAAAGTTTGACATAAATGTGGCTAAACATAAAAACATGAACTTCATCCTTTACCTGATGTCTTCTATTGTGGAGTGGAACATTGAGAGCATTATACTGACTGCACCCTACAAAACAGAAATGATGTACATTAGGTCTCTCATTTCACATTTATAGAAAAACAGCTTAACTCCAAAATGATGAATGCTCTGTAGCAAAATCAGATTTACATGAGAATTTAAAATGATCAATATCATAATCCCAGTACAGAAGAATTATGGAATTTATATGGAATCAGTGGTTTCTCACATAAAATAATGCTTTCAAAGTTTTTTTAAATTCCAGGACAAGAAAACAGATGTTTCCTATGTTTCCATTTCAGAGAAATCATTTCAAATACTTTATGGGGGCCTAATAAGTTTACTTAGAAAGGTTCATAATGTTCTTGCTGTAATCAATTATTCTCTCTCCTAAAATAACCACCCACATGGCCACCAGATTAATCCTCCAAAAATACCAGTTTTCCTAACACTATAATGGTTGGAAATTATCACCGTTTGCTGCTGCTGCTGATCTCAATGACTTAACCCAACTTTCCAGGGATATTTCTCTGTCTTCCTCAGTCCTCCTCTCTGCACTAGAAGCTGTCAACAGCCTCTGACAGCTTCCTAACACCTGGCCCCATACTTCTTCCAGCCCTCATTTGAATGACCTCCGTCTCTACTCGCCTCTATGCCCCACTTCAGCCACTCAAACCTGCTCTCCTCTGCCCACATTCTCCACCAGAATAACAACAGCACTAAAGTCAGAGTCTGATAGTTCCTGAGCCATTCTCTCCCACCTCCAATGCTCCTAAGCTGGCCATGTATTCTCAGCTTTCTCTCCATCCTCTCTCAACACTTCCTCTTCTACCATGCTTTGGAGCCTTGACCCCGCCCCTAGCCTGGTGCATTATTTCAACAATGCTTTTGGTATGATAGGAAGCTGAATAACACATGCACTTTTTATTTCTGTTAGGGCCTGTGTCTAGATATCCTCCCAAAGCCTCATGTGCTCATAGGTGGGACTTTTGGGAGGTGGTTGGATCTAGGGTGTGTGATGTTGGATTAGGCTGTGTGATGCTAGGATTAAGGGTAGGTGTGGATAATGGAAGCCCCACCTTGGGTGTAAGTGGCACGAATCAATAGGCTAGTAGTCTGGATGGAATATAAGGGGACAGAAAGAAAGCAAGCTTGCTGTTGCTGCTACTGCTTGCAGCTTTGCTGCCTTCTTGCCACACCATGAACTGTTTCTCCTTTGTAATGCCCCTCTGCCATGCCACCCTGCCTTGGAGCCAGCCAACTATGAACTGAAACCTCTATCAACTGCACTAAATAAACCTTTCCTCCTTTAACTTGTGGGTGTCGGGTATTTTGTCCCAGCAGTGACAAAACTGAGAAAATTTCTGTCAGCTATACCACCATCTTTCTCCTTCACTACCTCCTTTCCCTTCCAGGTCTCCCTAAAAGGACCAGGCTCTTCCTTCTCCTCCCATGAGATCTTCTGCACCTCTCTGACAATCCACACTCAACTCTCTATGACAGCACACCATGACTATGGTCACAAAGTCTTGACCTCCCTTCTCCCACCCCCAGATGGGGTGCACTCTGTTGCTGGATTACCTGACACCTCAGGACAACCTTCCCCAGCAACCTGATGGCCTTGGAAATGAAGTCCTAAGACCTTAGCCCTGAACTCTAAGGTCCAGTCCTACCCTCCCTATCAGAACTTTCCTGTCACTGCTGCCCACACCTCACTCAACCTAGTCTGCTGTCCTGCTTCATTACTGTTCCTGAGGTCATGGTGGCCCCTTTCATCTAACATACCACACTCCATGCAATTCCCTGGCTTGTTCCCCCTCCCTCCTGCTCACAGATACAGACCTAGCTCCACACACACTTCCTCTGGGAAGGCTACCTAAACAACCAGCAGAATAATGTCTCCTTCCCCTGAATCCCAAGCCCTTCTTTATGGCACAGTGGGGTTTGTACTTCCTATACAGATATTTCTATATCTATCTCTGCCCTACTAGATCATAAATTCCTTAAGGATACAGATTTTTGTCTTCTGAAGTTCTACACCCGCTATGCTACCTAGGCAAATGATCTCTAAATATTCTGGAATAGTAACCTATAATGTGACATGATAAGGACTTAAACCAAGGTAATTACTAGGCATGGAAAAGGAAGGATAAACCCAAGAGGTTCAGAAGGAAATTATTAGAACCCGATGACTGAATGATGTAAGGGTTAAAGGAAAAATTAAATGCCAAAATTTCAAAACCAGGGGATCAAAGTATACAAGGGCCATTTAAATTAATGCAGAAGCTACAAACAGATGTGTTTGCAAAGGAGAATTAAGGGGGTTTTTTTATATAATTATGACATGTTCTAATTTAAGTGTTAAATCAAACTGCTATTTTCCTGTGGTTTCATCTCTTTCCTCTTATCTTTTTTTCAGGTCTTTCCTAAGAAAAATTTAAGGGAAGTAAAAAATTAATTTCAGCCATAACTGTAAAAAAAGGAAATGTATATTATTTGAAATATAAGTTTCAAAATCAAACAATTAAATATTTTGCTTTCAAGGTTTTGACTTAATTCTTGTCTAGAGGTTACAAATTTGACATCTATTACACATGTAAGGTATTGTTTTCATTTTCTTTAGAAGATCTTTTTATTGCTCGTGGGTGTGTAAGTTACCACACCATCGGCAGGATGAACAGGGACACAGGGCTTACCCAAGCCTGATCCTAATATCACTGGGGACTGACTGACCAAGGGCCAGGCAATGATCCAGACCACCATCAGCCCCTCCCACCATGAACAATTTTGCTTGTAAAATGTGCAACCACATTATATGCAGGTTGGTTTTTACCTAGGGATATGATAATTACAAGTAAAATATGTACATGGGCTTCATCCAAGAAGATTAGCTTTGCAGAAATTAGCAGCTAACTTAAAATCTATGAAATATGACAATTAAAGCTAGTTGAAAGAACAAAAAGAATGCAACCCTCTGTGGGGCCAATTTTTTTCCAACAGATAAGAAATTATTTTAATCAGTTGGCTACCAGAAAGTAGTTCAAAGTTGCAAATAATGGAAAACTTTACACAATACCTACTTGTATCATTAAAAGGTACTTTTTCATTGATGACTGATAATGATTCTTCTAATCTACCTGACAAATCTTCATGAAGATTCTTTAACTGTAATTGACTGTAAGAAAAAACACGAGACCACATTATCACCAATCAGTGAATCAATGCCATTTGCCTGTTTCCTCAGCAGCTGGTGTCAGGCTTTCTGCTCTGAGTATGACGTCTGGGACCCTTCTGGCACAGATCTGCTAAGAGATGAAGAGAAGAGAAACACCATCCCTCCATTCCAAAGCCCCTCAGACTCCATAGGACAATGTGGAATTCTAGAAGAGTTTATCATAGTCCCAGTATCTATGTAACCTTGAGTTTATTAGTTACAGTTCAGAGTAATCTCAGAGCCACTTCAAAACCATACATTTGCTCTTTATAACATATAAATGTTTACTCAAGTGTTAATATAAGGTGATTTTAAAAATATTAAATCTGGTCTTTTTTCCCTGGAGCTCAAAAGCTAATAATTTGTTTTTATTCCATTATGAGCACAGGTACACACTGAAGAAATGCATGTAATTCTACTAATGTAACTGAAATGAAGAAATTCATCTTATTGATCCTATTAAAACCTCAAAAGGCCAAATCAACATTGAGTATGATGTTAGCACATATTTTAAGTAATAGTTGTTTTGTTTTTTGTTTTTTGGTTTTTTGTAAGTAATAGCTTAATTTTAAGAATTAGTGATTTCAGCCAGGCCTGGTGACACACACCTATAATTCCAGCACTTCAGAGGCTGAGTCAGGAGGATCACTGGCCTGGGTGGGCTACATTGTAAGTTCAAGGCCAGCCTGGACTACATAGCAAGACCCTGTTTCAAAAAAACAATAAAAAAAATTAGTAATCTCTAAATGAGATCATATTACCTGTTTTACTCAAAATGCACCATAAAAATCTTGGCACAATGATTATTAGTCAGCTTTGCTACCCAAGACTACCAGAAGGCCCCTTTCTTGAGGGTAGTTTGAAACAGAAAGCATCCAGTGCTCTGTAGAGAGCCTTAGAACACCCCATACCCTAATATACCTGCTGGCCAGCACTAATGCATAAGCCATCCTATCAAGTATGCTGGAAGGGCCAGCTATGTAGCTCAGCAGTGCTGAACCTACCTGGCAAGCACAAAATCCTGAGTTCGATTATGGGTACCAGGAAAAAAAAAAAAAGTAAAGTATGCTGGGCCTCAGAGAGATGACAGGAATTCTGAAAGTGACCCACTCCCACCTCCTCATCTCAAATGCAATCTAACTAGGACAGAGGAGCTGAAAAACAAAATTCATTCTTCTGATTCTTACTTCAGGGCCCCTTGGAATTCACGTTTCCACATACCATTCTTCTGTTCGGAGTCGACATTCCTTGGCCTCCTTTTCTAGAGTCTGAGACTTCACCTGAGGAAGGGAAAAGTAGCCACTCAGGCGACAGACAGGAGCAAAGCTCACCACAACAGCTAACTCTGCACTGTAGTTTGCACATGCCAGTGCTGTGTGTTAATAACATGCACTCACACAGGGGCCTTACTTCCAGCTTAGCCTTGTCATTCTGCAGCTTCTCAATGGTCTCCATGTACTTTTGGGTCAGGCCATCAACCACAGCTTGGTGCTGGGCAGCTTCTGTCTCCAAGGTGGCCAGCCGACTCCTCAGCTCTGCTTCCACATGCTTGTGCTGCTCATCAGCTTCAAAAAACTGAAAAGACAAGACCATTTGCTCTTTCAAATATCCAAATACATATAAATGAAAAAAAATGGTGAAGACTAGTTGTTCCACAACTTTAGGCATGATCTCCTTGAATCTTCTCAGTATTCTACATGTTTCTTTTCTGCCAGTATGGGGATTAAATCCAGAGTCTTCAACACTGAGCTATACCCCCAGCCATTTTATTTTTTGAGACAGCGTCTCACCAAGTTGCCCAGGTGGGACTTGAACTTGTGATCCTCCTGCCTCAGCCCACCCCTCGACCCCCCAAGTGCTAGAATTATAGGCAGGGCCCACTGGTGCTGGCAGGGGTAGCACTTTTCTTATCTCTCCTTTCCTGTGGCTTGAAAGGGTTAAGTAACTTATCTAGTGTTTCATAGTTAAAATATCACAGAAATAAGGTTTAAATTCAGGTAATTTCTCCAGAACCTGTACCTCCTTCCTTGTCATCTCATGAATTTCTACTATATTTCAAACACTTTTTAGAACACATAGAATTCAACTGATCAGAGTATAACTCATCTACTCAGCTAACTTCCACAATGAAATAATCAAAAAAAGTACTATTCTCAAAACAGCCAAAGCTCATTCCCTTAGTGAGAGTCTAATACTAATTAAAAATTAGCAATACTGGGCCGGGGATTTGGCTCAGTGGTTCCACCACCTGCCTCACAAGAGCAAGGTCCCGAGTTCGATCCCCATTACCAAAAAAAATAAAAAATTAGCAATAGACACAAAACACATGGAAGTCAAAAGTTCACCGTTTAAAGATTTTTTTTCAAAGACTAAAAATCAGTGCATATTTATTTCCGAAAATTAGACAAAGAAAAATCAGGAGGTAAACCCTGATACACTACACTATGACTCTTACAATATGCTCAGTGCTTTACAGCATTCCAATAGCAATGGGGTAACACTACTCAATGCCATTAACTTTTCAACATTCCATAAATATTTGAGTGACTGTCCTAAGTGAGGCTCTGTCATGGAACTGGGTATACAAAACATACCTAGTCCACACCATCAAAGACCTTATGGTCTAAGAGAAGTACTGGTGAAAATCATTATCAATAGGGGCTGGGGATTTAGCTCAGTGGCACTGTGCCTGCCTCACAAGCGCAAGGTCCTGAGTTCAATTCCTGGTACCCCCCCTCAAAAATTCCCAATATCAATAAATTTAAAAAGCAAACCCTAATTATGGATAAGCCCCCACCTAAATGATCCTTCCAACCACTTCCTGCGTAAGATGAAGAGTATATAATATATAGTATATTTCTGAGTTAAGTTACAAAGCTATTCTGCTGTACTCTGAAAACGCATATACTTCAAAGCACACATCCATATCAAGATGTGTGCAAGATTTAAGAAATGAACAAATGACACTGACATATACACTTAACACAGGAGACAATAAAAGCCCATAGAGACACAAAGCACTCTATCTGCATTGGTTTTTCTGCCTTCTAGATCATATGACCCATTTTAAAATTGATATGAAAAAACTCCAAGATCCCCCTCACCTGTATATGCAACCGTTCATTCTCTTCTATCTTCTTCTGCAGATCTTCATCAAAGACACTCTTCTGCTCTTGACTCAATTGAGAAGAAGATTCTCCACTTTTCTGATGGAAAGAATAAGTTATGTCCACATAACTTTCATCCTTTAGAGAAACATCCTAAGGTACATAGATTCACTATCACTTTAGCAGCTTGTCTCTTCTATAGAAGTGTTCACCATTCTCAAACAATCCTGCAAAAGGTACACAGTTCATCATTTAACTTTTCCTATGGGACACAAAATGGAACTGTAAATGTTGCAAAGGACAGAAAAGCTTAAAAGACAGAGCAGAGCTAGAGAGGCAAAGAAGAAAAAAAGATAAGGTCATTATTCTTTGCAGATAAATTCAGAAATAATTCTGTTGGAAGACAAAGCAGACTCAGGAAACCAGCAATATAAATATACTAATAAATAGTTTAATTTGATCTTTTGGCTTGGAATATCAGACTTCTAGCAATTCCGTAAGTCTGAGTTGTTAAACTCCTTTAAGAAATTTGTTAACAGCATTTACAAAGATAAGTTTATACAGAAGTTCACATGGACTTCCAAATTTTTTTTAAAACTTAGCCATGTTAAAAAAAAAACTACTATAAACACAAGAAAAAAGCTCAAAGATTATGAAAAATCCCTTACTTTTGCTTTTCTACTAATACTAACTTTTTATATTGAGAAGAATACTACTATTTAAAAGATCTAATAATGTGCATTTGTTTTCTTTTAATACATGAAACTGAGACTATTCAAGGGACCCGCTAACAATGAGGCTGTGTTCACACATCAGTCACCACCCTTCCCTGCCTCTTTTGCATCCATCCTCACTCTTCACTTAAAATGAAGTCACCTACTGACCTAATACAAATCAGGGTCTGAAGGTCCTTTGAAAATGGAACAGCTATATAAAATTAAAAGAAAACAAAAACATTAAATACCCATGATGTGTGAACAAGAGATGCAGAAGGAACATTACTGAATGACATATTCAGGGTCCTCAGTGATTCCAAATTTGGAAAGCTGTGATTAAAACTAATCCCCAAGTGTTACCCATACCTCGCTAAACAATCCTAATCAGGCACATTCACAGTCTGATGTGCAGGTTTGAAGTCTGAAGGGCTATTTCCTCCCGACGGGTCTTTCTGAATCCCCAGGGCACATGTATTTTGACAGTTTCCCAAGTAGCTCTATCTGGTCCATGCTGTTATGCCCTCTCTCTCTTCCCCCTGCTGGGACACTGGCACTCTAGAGAATCTTTCCGTGTATGGAACTGCATATGGGAAAGGTAGTAACATACTGTATGGCAAATATAGTCCTGGGCACTTTCACATGATCCCTTTTAATCCTCACAAGCTTGAAAATCTCAGTCCCACTCTGCTGATGCAGAGAAAGAGGCTGCAAGGTCAAAAAGTCTACCTGAGACACAGATTTCTAATTACTGATCAAAGAATTCAGGCCAGGGCTACACTGTGGAGCCTATGCACTTCCCTCCACATGGTGCTTCCTTCTGAGTACTTCTTCCCTTCTACTGCCCCCACCTACAAGTTTGTGGGATACACCTCTACCCACATACTCGTCTTAGAGACTTCATTACTAACACGAATCGTACCCTCACCAAAAAGCAACTTCTTAATCATAGAAGTTTCCAAAGTACTAGATCATCCATCTTAGAGCAGTAAGACTTTTGTCTTACCATATAAAACCACAAGGGAAAACATTTATTTTCAAATCTCAAGACAAGCAAACCACATTAGCCTCATAAGAATAAATATTAAGCAAATACACTGCAGTAAACTTACAAACCTAACCTGAAATCTGTGTTTCAACTGTTACTTTCACATGAGTAGATAAACTTGACAATATCTCTCATTTTATTTGCCCCAATTTAGGTTAATGGCAACTTGGAATAACTTTTAAAAGATACCAACATTTTGAACAATACAATGCTCCACTGACTTTTCTTAGCCACTGAATCAACTATGTGCATGTTTGCAGCTAATTCTTTATAACTGGCTTCTCTATGAAAATGTCCCTAATATTCAGCATATATTAATAGTAAATGTCTGCATTCTTCGCTTGATATCCAGATATAACAATAGAACATTAGAGAAACTGGAGGTGGGGTCGCTTGTTAAAACCACTGTCTGACCCATGACAAGGTCCACTAACTTGCCCTGTGGAACCTACCTTGTTTTTCTTGCCTCGAGGTTCACTTAGCGCCAGTTCATCTTGAAGCAGTTCCACCCTCTTGGCAAGCTGCAGATTTCGAAATGTCAAACTGTCCATTTCCTGCTGCAGTTTCCTCAGTGACTGATCCTTCATTTTCAGTTGTTCCTATATCAAAGTGAAAACAGATCATTATTCAGTCTAGCCTTGAGGTTTAGAATTCATATTTTTTTTTGGTACCAGAGATTAAACTCGGGACCTTGCGCTTGCGAGGCAGACAGCAGAACCACTGAGCTAAATCCCAGCCCTAGAATTAATAATTTGTTAAAATGATCTCTGTTTCACCAAAGTGTAATCAAAACCTCTCCCTTTAGAGAATTCAAGTTGTATCCTTATCATCTCAGTTCTTGTTCTGTTTTTGTTTGTTTGGGTTTTTTTGGTACCAGGGATTGAACTCAGGTCCTTGCCCTTGTGAGGCAGGCGGCAGAACCACTGAGCTAAATCCCTGGCCCTCTTGTTTTTAACAATTTAACAACAATTTAAAGTAAAATACCCCAAACTAGATGTTAATTCTATGACAGTGAGCAAACACAAAGTCTACAAACTAGCCAGGCATGGAGACACACACCTAGCATTCTGGGAGGCTAAGGCAGGAAGATGCCAAGTCAACCCAATCTGGGCAACTTAGTGAGTTAGCAAGACCCTGCCTCAGAAGTTAAAAAAAAAATTATTTAAAGGGCTGGGGATATACTTCAATACAAAGGCCCTGGGCTCAGGCCCCAATACGGTTAAAAAAGAAAAGAAAACCCGAGTTTTTAAATAGAACCTCAGATTTACTGATGATACCCTTCAGTGAACAAGTATAGGAAAAAAAATACATTTAAATTTCTTTTTTTCAACAATCCTCTCTGAATTTAAATCCATCAAAATAAAGTCTGTGTGTGTGTGTGTGTGTGTGTGTGTGTGTGTGTGTTTGCTTTTTGTGGTGCTGTGTATTGATTCTAACCTAGGACCTCACACATGCTAGTCAAGTGCTCCACCACTGAGCTATATACCCCAGCCTAAAATGAAGTCACTTTTTTAAAAACTTTATTTTGATATGTCAAAGATAAAAATAAGTTTCATGATAACATGAAAACATTTTCATAGCACTCAAGAAGCTGAGGCAGGAGGATCCCAAGATCAAGCCCAGCCCAGGCTACACAGCAAGTTTAAAGCCAGCCTACACTATGTAGCAAGACTCTGTCTCAAACACACACACACACACACGCGCGCGCGCGCACCTATCAACCTCAATTCACCTTAAAACTAAGTAAAAACAGAAACAAAATCTAAAAGCGCATTTCCTGCTGACCAAGTTGTACCATTTCTACCATACTGGGGTAAGAAAATGGGAAGCTAAGGAGAAAAACTTAGTTTCATCCTATTTTTTTTTTAAATACTATTATAGCTGGGCATGTCGGCACACACCTGTAATCCTAGCACTCTGGGAGGCTGAAGCAGGAAGATTGCAAGTTTGAGCCCTGCATGGGCAACTTAGTAACTCTGCAAGACTCTGTCTCAAAAAATTTAAAAAAATAAAATAAAAGGGCTGGGGCTGTAGCTAAGTTCCCCAAGGCCCCAAGTTCAATCCCCAGTACCAGAAAACAAACAACAACTATTCTAACTGCATTTTACTCAGATGTTCTGATAACTCTGTGTTCACTGATAATCAAACACAGACAGCCATATACGACTGTTTATTTAAAGAACCACTTTTATTACTTTCACTGAAACAACTATAAAGCTAAGAAGTCAGATTTTAATCATCAAATGGCTTAACAACATTGAAACAGCAACCTAAAATCTACAGGCTGACATCTGTAATCTACTGACATTTATTGTATTTGCAGGCTGAAAGCAGTGCGAGAGGGATAGAATATGCTCCTACTACATAAAAAAATATTTTTTATCTACTGTTTGTTTAGTAAATCTTTAAATTTTATTTGAAGTTCAAAGGTAAACTTAATCCTACGTCATGTCTAAATTATCATGTATCTCAAATTTTTAAAAGTCAAATCAATGAATATTTACCATACCCAGCAACTCACTGAAGAGGCAAAGCCTAAAAAATGAAAAGTGTGCTGTGACCAAGGACATTCTAACATCCTCACCTAACAAACAGGCAATTGTCAGCGTACTGTAATCACAATGACCACTGCAGTGAACAATAAAAAAGTATTTCTTTCCTTTGTTATGAGTTACAACTAGTTAACTATGCTTTGTCTTTCTTACCAATTGTTAATTTCAGGAGACCTGCATCCCAGCCTCTCTCCAAACCCCAGTTTCTTCGAGAGGGATGGTGACATTAGCAAGTCCCACAGAGTTGTGGACACTTCATAAGATGATGGACGTAATGCACTTAGCAGAATGTCCGGCCCAGGGAGTGGTCAATAGATGGCACCAGCTGTCACCATCACTACTACTGCCACTGCAGGCACTGCCATCACACAGTCAATCAAACTCAACCAGCCCCAGAGCGTGTCACACAGGAGAGTAGCTACTCCACACACTCCACAAGCTAGGAGACACTTTGCCCAGTAATAGGTGTAAAACGTTAATAGGAAAGATAATGACCATTTCTTCAGCGATTTCAGTAAACCAGTAACATGACTAACAAATCCTGAGCACAAGAGCTCTTCCTAATAAATGGGCCTTGGGTACAGAACACTCTGGTTTTTTATTTGTTTTTTATTAGTCCACTTTTAGTACTTAACGATTACATGCATCATGGAGAGTTGGTGCATGTACATGACACATCTTAATTCTTTTTCCACCCCTCTCTTCCCTGCCTGCACCTCTTGGTTCCCTTTTACAGAAGATCTATAGCATGGATGCAGTCCTGGTCTTCTGAACTGTCTCAGCCCTGAGGCTGTGGGGACAGGTTTGAGGGCGCATCACAGCCACATCTCTCCAGTGTCATCCAACACTACTGTCTAAATGCAAGGACATATTTCTGGGTCTCAGCACCTGAGTGGAGCCAGCCAGGATCTCTCACTGGTTAAAGACTACTCCACAGAGAGCAGAGGAAAAGGAATCCTAATCCCATCTGTCCAATGAAAGAAAGACAGTAGAAGCATGAGGCAGGCAGTATATTTAACTGAAACCTGGCCAATAAAGAATCTATATCCTAGAATTAATTTATCCATTTAAAACATCACTAAGAAGTATTTATTACATGCCTATGAGAATAAGGTAGAAATAAATCCCTTCACCTCCTTTCTTTCCTTGATTAATAATAATGCTGATGGTAAAATGTATCACTCAAACAGTATTCAGATTAACATAGGACATTACCATAAAACAGAGCAACTACAGGCAAGATTAGTGAGATGAATGGTTCACACATTCAAATCTATGTGTTAGGGCCCCTGATTCTGAGGAGGATGGGGATTCCAAGGAGATGTGGCACATCCACTCAGTGACAAGAAGTCCCCTCAGTCCAGATGGACTAAACTAAGGGGCACAAGGTATAGAAGAAATACATTAGATAAAGTCAACTGATACTTTTTTGTAATTTTTAGTTAAGGAAATAAAAATGTATAATCCTCATATCTAAGCAAGTGAGAAAGCTAAACACAAAGACAGTACTCCCATCCCCATCCCCAGTGCATTCGAGTCAGAGTTGAGACTTTAACCCTTAAAATCCAGCTGAATTCCATGCTCTGACCATCACCACACCCTTAGGTAGTCTTCACAGCACAAATAGCCCATAGTGTACCTTTAAAGCAGCAGAATTTGCTTGTTCATCCACAACACCTTTTTTTAGGACCTGATTCTGAGCCCGAAGCTAAAAACAGAGAAAGCAGTAATTAGTTTTAATATAAAACAATCACAGCAAGGAAATCACTGACCTTTATTTTACAGGAATCATTACACCAAGTAAACACCTTCTCACACATATATATGAAAAAAATATTTGCCCCAGAGTAGTAGACATAGATATAGATAATCTTTCTATTTTTAAGACAGGGTCTCACCATACAGCACTTGGCATTTTATAAGTAAGGACACACAGCCTGTGTTCCCCAGTGACACAGACTTATCAATGGCAAAATAGGACTAAAATGCCTTCCAACATTTTTTAGAAAGAAGAATTTTATTTATTTGTACATTTTCATGGGGCGTTCCCTGATTGTGGTACACTCCATCTCAACTTAAACCTCAGCTCCACAGAAATCAAAGCAAAGAATCACGATTCATTAATAGCTATCACTGTTCACATGAGAGAATCACTCCCAAAGGGATGAGCACTTCATGAGAAAAAGAACTTCACCTGGTGTCACCTGACTTTTAATGCATCATTCTTTTTTGTTTTATTTTTCGGGTACAGGGGATCAAATTCAGGAGCTTATGCTCGCCAGGCAAGTGCTGTGCCACTGAGCTAAATCCCTGGCCCTAATACATCATTCTTTACATAAACCAAGTCATATATCTAAATAAAAAACAATACAACAAATAATAGGGTACTGAATTGCCATTTTCCTTAAAATTCTAGTACACTGTTTGTGTGTAAAATAGATACAACTGGGCCAGGGATTTAGCTCAGTGGTTTCACAACCTGCTGTGCAAGCGCAAGGACCCAAGTTCAATCCCCAGTACCAAAACAATAAAATAAAATAAAATAGATACAATGAACACATTAGGGTCTAAGAATTGTAGAAAAAATTAAAATGTGGAGCATCAACATACCCAGCAGGCTATTGTGCCTAATATTAGACATGCAAATGTCATCACAGACAAGGCCTTGGGAACAGTGGACTTGTTATCAGAATCAGCTGAGGCAGAACACAAAGCAACTATGATGCAGGATCAATTTAGAAACCCTAATAGTATCCACTTATGCTTGAATGCTCATTCGGACTACACTGCTGGGAGTGATGCTGTATATCCCTATGGCCAGACCTAACTCACCTCCTCCCACAGACTAGGCAGGGCCCCGCAGGAGGAGAACAGGTGACAAGAGGGCATGGTGGAGCAAGGCCTAGCTAAGAAGAGGACTATCTTCCTTCCCACCCATCTGCCAGAGAAACATCAAGCATTGTCTCCTGCAGAACATAGCCATTCTCCCTGTTCCAATCAGGCATCCCCTTTCATGTCCCTTATCTACACTATAAATAAAGGTGCTGAGGACACAAGCCAAGCCTTTTGTCTCATCAGGACAAAGGGTTTCTACCTGGCCTCAGCTTTATAAACTTTACTGTCGTCTCTGTCTTTTTCTTTGACTTTCTTTCATTTCTCACTCCTTGAACCCTTCAGCCATGAGGGCCGTGACACCACACATCTTCCCAGGACTTTTCCATGCATTACCTCTTCTAGCCTCACAATGCTATGAAGCAGGAATTTCAATCACCTCCATTTAGAGGTGAGGAAACTGAGGCACAGAGCAGTGAGGCAGCAATACCAAGGCTCAGAGCACAGCAGTTTTGATTCTGTTGTCATAGTCAACTAGACACCGCTGACTACTACTTTACAAAGCTATGTTGAAGGGAGAAAGGCAGTGGCCTGGTGGGTGGGGGAAGCCTTGCCAAAAAAAAAAAAAGACAGAATTTAAGCTTTTTTCCATAGTTAATTATTAAAACTTGACATATAACTTTAAAGTATACAAATAAGACATTACACAGCTTGATGATTTGTTCCTTATATATACATCGTACAACCACCACTAGCAATTTGAGCAGGTAAAATCCACCTCTATAGTAAGAGAAAGGTATTCTGAGCACAGGGATCCAGCACATGTCAAGTGTAAATGTGTAAGTCCAAAACAGTGGAAGCACAAGGTTTATCGACTAATATCCTGCTTAGTACAGAAACCATGAGTGACTAGGTCCCTCTCTGAGAAACTTGAAGGATGGGACGATTTTATTAATGAACTTAAAAAATCTGTTTCTAAACCCGCATAGCTCAGATCTGTCTCCTGAGACCAGAGAACAGAAATGACTCTTCTGTGCCAAAAGAAGGAATATTTGAATGCTGAACCTTAAACTGAACAGTTAAAACTCAACAGAAAATTTATATACTAAGACAAGAATAAAAACATGAGCATTTTCTGCTTTTAGAACATTGAAGAGCGCAGTTCACTGGTACAAGTTCCAGAAAGCAGATCCAACTGTTTGCTCTGACATTTACTAGACAATACAAACTGGGGAAATTCACTTCACCCTGTGAGCCTCAGCCACTTGGTCTACACCACACGGTCTAAACATGGGAGAACACATCTACTCTATCTTCCTTTGCTTAGGGCTGCTGGGAGAACCAGATAAGAAAGCTGTCAAAGCACTTTCTAAACTGTACAATAGAGGCTTCCACAAAAGCAAACAGCTCTTAGAAAAGACCCAAAGGGACAACAGGTGTATTTATTATAATTTGCCTGCGGTAGAGCATTGCAATAAATGATAGGGGAGAGGAAATGAAGTAAGAGATGTGGTTCCTGTTTTCAAAGAACTTATAATTTAAAAGGGAAGCAAAAATATTAAAGGATAATAGCAAAACTAGCATTTCCTGCTCTTAAAAAAAAAAAAAAGTAGGAGCATTAAATTCTCTAGAAAAGTGGTTGGCAACCTAAGGTCTGAGGGCCAAACTGGCGACCAGTTTTAGTTTTCCTGGAACACAGCCATCCTCATTTATTTACCTACTGCACAGGATGGAAAACACGAGTAGTTACAATAGAAACTACACAGCCCCAAGGCCAAAATAGGTACTATTTGACTCTTTACAGAAAAAGTTTGGCAAAATCTGTTCTAAGAATTCAAAAGGGAGAAATATCAGCTTAATATTGATTTCCATCACATAGTATTCTACTTTTTGACCACTATCAAACTCATATTACCTAGATAGCAGAATTGGACCTTCAAATCCATGAATCCAAAAGACAACAATACTTCAGTATCCAGGTGTCACTTCACACCCTTGTCCTAATTTTGATCTACTATGGTTTGCATGTCCTCTTTTGTGTGGTTTTTAGAATTCATAACAACTGCTTTAAGGACTAAGGATGATGCTTGAAGTCTGCCAAATTGATCATTTCCCCTAAGATCAGAACCATAGCAATTTAAAAAATAAAAGGACTGAGCTGGGTGTGGTGTTGCAAGCCTGTAATCCCAGCACTTGGGAGGCTGAGGCAGGAGGCTTGCCCCAAGTTTGAGACCAGTGTGGGCTACACAGTGAGTTCAGGGACAGCCTGAACTATAAAGTGAGACCCGGCTCAAAAAAAAAAGACTTGTCCTTTACTTTGTAAGGAATACTGAAGGGTACTAAAAGCAAACCAAAGAGCAAAAGGGAACCTTCAATAAATGACATTTAGCCTGTTTGTAATTAAAAATAATTTAGGCCTTCCTTTGGAAAATACTGTTTCTAAACTGACAAACAGTTTCAGAGAAACTGCTTCACAGAAAGTGCTCCTGCTTCACAACACTCATCTGAAGCACCTGGCTGTATATTATTCCTGGGGAGGACAGCTGGACAAGCTGGGTGCTCTCCTGCCTCTTCTCCCCGGGGCTCCCAGCAGTCAGCCTCCCCCACACCTTCTTGCCACACCCGGCCTGGCGTTCAGAGTCCATCCTGGCCCTCTCCAGCACTCACCAGTGTCAGACTGCCATGTGGTCATGAGGAGACTCTGACACACACTGACACAATGGGGAAACTGAGACTCCAACTGCCCTGGAGACTCCATTCACAGAAAAATTCTCCTGAAGATCCTGCAGCCTATTTTCAGCAGCTGCACACCAAGCTCCTCTGTCCAGTGCAGGACAGCACCTCTGAAGCCCTCTTAATCCTTTACAACCTTATTTTGTGTTGTTACCGTGTCATCTGTTGATTAGCTTTCTTTTCTTCAAAAACACAGCCCACCTTCACTTGGCCAACCAAGTCCTACCATCCTCCCAGCCCACGTCTTACCTGAAACCCACCCCCCATCTTTCTCTAACCACTCACTGTGGCCGAAGTGAGCTTCGTCTCAGGTCCTCCCATACTTATTCTTACTAAATTGTTCGGTTGTAAAGGTGTAAAATTTACATTTATTAATGTATGGTCTCTGTTCACCTCGAATCTGCCAATTTAAAGTGTTCTTCACGGTGGAGACTATAGTATACTGTCTTGTATTTCCTGTTTACAAGGAAAGAACAAGGCTTTGGACAGAGAAAGCGCTCAATAAATTTTTGTTTTGTTTTGTTTTTTTGGTACCGGGGATCGAACTTGGGACCTTGCGCTTGCAAGGCAGGCGCTGGAACCACTGAGCTAAATCCCTGGCCTATAAATTTTTATCTAATTAATAAAATTACATCTTGTATACAAAAGGTATTTAAAGTTGAAGGACACTGAAGTTTTTTTCTATCAAAAAAAGTTACTTAGATGTAATGCATTATACAGCTATCAGAGACTGTCATCATTTTACCACCTCCGAAATTTCTAAGACCATTCTCCACTAATTGGAACCCCAAGGTCTTATGGACACCACGAAGACTCACGTCCCCAGGCCTGCCCTGAGTAACTGGGTCTGGAAATACCCAGCCTGAGTCAGGCCTGCCACAAAGCTGCTTTTCTAGGAAGAGAGAGTGAAGGTGAGCCCACTGTGACTGCGCGCTGCCCTGACAATCTCTGATGGGTAACTGGCACAACATTAGGGATTCATGACCTTCGATCACAGACTTGGAAGACTCCGTGGGGAAAGACATATGAATCACCTACAGGAGCTTTTTCATCAAAACCGCAACCATCTTCTGTGTTAGAGTCATTCTTTTGCTTTGTTTTGTTTGAGACAAGGTCACAATATGTAACCCAGGTTGGCCTCAA